CCTCCTGATTTCTTTCCCCAGTGAAACAGTCAGCCACTGCCTCCTACGAACATTCACTTTACATGGTAAATGAATGCTTCTAGTGTGGAATCATCCCATCATGTTCTCATTTTTTTTCAATACTCCTTGGCTGGGGATTCTGTCCCATTTGTGGCCATGTCCCTAGCTGCAAGCAGAAACTGGAAAATAAGAAGAGGTCGATAAGGGACTGACCTGAATTGAAGCATGAAATTAGCAGACAGGAAGCCTTGATAAATCAGCCACCTCCTCTAGCACATCAGAAAGGCAAAAAAGACAATCTCCCTGTTAGATGACAGGACATGGCCTGCTTACACGGTGACTGGACTCAAATGCAATTCCCTCTGGGAAAATTAAGTTCACACTCAGTAGTGAGGTGAATGGGGAGAGAACAAGCAGAGAGGGATTGTTCAGGTGCGAGGTGTGGCCAAGCGGACAGAAGCCTGACACAGAAGCGCCATCTCCTGGCCATCCAGTGGCTAGGACCCAAGGAGCAAGCAGCCCAGGAAGAGGACACTGTGGACACCTGGTCTCTTCCTCTCTCCCTCACCAAGGGTCCAGCTGGGACACTTCTAAGACCAGAGCTAGGCCGTCCCCACCAGCCTTCCCCCTGTGGGAAAGCAAGATGCTCTCTCCTCCACTTTTTTCCTGCTTCTCAGCATCCCGGGCCAGCCAGCCGCCACCCACTGCCACAGCCCACCCTGCTACCCCTGCTCTCAAAACCACTCCCACCCCTCACTGGCTCCCTAAAGCCCCAGTACCTGTTAAAATTTGCTTCTTATTTTTCAGAAGCAGACAACAAATTAGGCTGAGGAGACGGCTCAGCTGTTAAAGTGTTTGCCTTCCAAGCACGAGGACCTGAGTTAGATCGCCAGCAACCATGTTGAAAAGCCAGCACAGTGGTACATGCTTGCAACCCCACCACTGAGGAGATGGAATTGGAAACAGGGGATCTGACTGGCCAGGCAGTCTAGCTGAATCAGTGGGTTCCAGGCCAGTGAGAGACAATGGCTCAAAAAACCAACAGAAGGCACCTGAGCCACTGCATAAAGTTGACCTCTGGCTTCCATACACACATGCATACAAGTGTAAGAGAACCTATACATGCATGCATAACCACTCGTACACATGCACCCACTCTCACGTGAACATAGCATGCACACACACATGAACCAACACCCACACAAGCAAACATACAACGTACGCACATACACGTGAACATACACACAGACAGAGATATGCCCAAATTCAAATGAACTAACACCTATGTAAGCAAACACACAATGCATACACATACATGCACCTACACCAGCATGAACACACATGCATACACAAAGACAAACAAAATTACACAACACCCATATGAACACACATATGGACATACAACACTTACACATATAAACACATATCAACATGAATACACATATACAGAGGTTCGCCCACAAGCCCACACCCACCCACATAAACACACACACACCAATATGAACATACACACAAACACACCTTCACTTATGCACCCATACCCACATGAACACATGTGCATACACACAGACATGTACCAGCACACATACATGCAGACACTCATATGTATAATATGCACACACAATCACATACACACAAGGTGATCTGTCCCAAACTACCAAGAGTAGTGAGGTGAAAGGTCATGCTTGTAGCCAAGAAGGCAGAGATGGGAAGAGAAAGGGGAACGCAGATGATGAGGGCTGAGGCTAAGGCAGCAGAGGCTGTGCAAGGCTTTAGGGGTCCCAGCAATGGGGCGGAGTGGACATGGTCAGATGGGATGGGGTGAGCCTGGATGTCAGGGTGATGGGACCAGCCAGGCAGTGTCTCCTCTGTCTCTGTGGGTCTAAACCAGCATTTTGTCAAATGCCCAGGAGATCCTGCTGCTGAGGTTTCCCTCAGTGGGTACGGTGGGGTGCTGGGGGGCAATTCAGCCTGTCAGTCTCCAGTGGGAGACTCCATGGGGTCAGACCCTGGCCCTGCTGTTGACTCGGCACCAATCTTGAAGGCATTTCTCAGAGCATCGGTCTTATCATGTTTGGGCTGGACATATCTACATGCTGAGTTTGATGAGAACTGGAGAGTCTGGACACACACCGGTGACACACAGGTGAGCAATCATCTAACTCCTCACTTAACCCGAACTAATACCCAGAAAGGGAGTCTTGCTCCATCCTGGCTGTTATTCCTGTTGCTTAGACAGGAATGGCCATGACACTATTGAGAGACCTCAGACCTACAGGTGGCAACAAGTCTCTGGTAGGGACTTGCTCCTTCCTGTGCTTGAGGACTTCTGTCAGCAGGACCTAATGAAGTCTAGGGGCTCCCCTTACAGCCCTGGCACTAGGAGGAGCATTTCGGTGCTCTTGGCTTCTAACTTGCCCAGGACAAGGTAGTGGGGTAAAAGCCAGCAGGCTGCAGGCCCAGCCCCAACCCAGGCTCTGTGGAGAGTATGCCGTGGCCCAGCCTGTAGGCTTAGCTCCCCAAATCTAAGGTCCCCCAAGCTGCAGGCTAGCTTCCAGGTCCAAGGCCTCCATGCGGCCTTTCCCTCCTCAGTGCTCCCATCCCACTCCTACACCTGTCAAATGGGAAAGGCTCCGGAGCAAGCCTCCACTCACCAGTTTTCTTTCCAACCATTAACGAACCCTCTGGGAGTGGAGGGCTAAAGTCACTTGCAGCAGAACCCAGGGAAACAGCACAATACAAGCCCAAAGCACAGAAGTGCTCACAACCACCCTCCTCACGATCACCCTCCTCCAGGAGCCAAGACAGCTGAGAACTGTCCATCAGATTGTGATGTATAACCTGCAGAATCAAGCTGGAGGGTCCACCTTCCCCATGGCTTTCCATAGGACTAGGCCACTGAAGAGCCAGACCCTCCAAGGTGTTCCCACCACTGCCACTACAGGCACTGAAGTGGCCTCACCCTCAGAGGTAGACACAGAGAGTCAAGGGACAAACGGTCCCCTGGCCCAGCATCTCAGAGTCAGTTAGTGCAGGAGGCAGGGCCAGATGCATGTGGGATGGTCAACTCTCATTTTCAACTTGACAGGATTTAGTCACTTAGGAGATACACCTCTGGACAGGTCTGTGAGGGTGACATTTCCAGGTTTACATGGGGATGGAAAACCTACCCTGAACGTGGGTGGCACTGTCCATAGGCTGGGGCCTGGATCGAATAAGGAGAATCCGAGCTGGGCAACAGCGCTCATCTCTATCTGCCTTCTGCCAGTGGATGCAATGTGACCAGCCCCCTCACCCCTGCTGTTTCATGACCCCCCCCCATGACTGTCCCCTCACACTGTGAGCCAAAGTCAACCCTTCTTCCTTAAACTGCTTTTGTCACAGAGACAAGAAAATTACCAATATAACCAGCATCCCCCAGGCTTGCCCTAAGGGGTGCCCATCTAGCATCTGCAGCCATTGGTATTGGAGGTCCCTTTGGACCACACGGGCTAAGATCCTCCAGCTCTGCTGAGGAAGCAGCTAGGCCTGAGGCCTTTTTTAGGAACTCCCACTTCAGTCTTACACCTCCCTCGGCTCCCTGGCCATGGCCCTTCCTACAAACCCTGGTTCAGGAAACTCCAGCTCCTGCTGTTACTCTGCACAAACTTTCTCTATGACCCAGTAGAAGTGCCTTCCCTTTTCTGGGCCTTTGGAATGTGTGACCAGAGGCCACACAATGGACAGAATCCACATAGCAATCTTTGCCCTGACTACCACAGGCCATCAGTATATGCCGAGTGATAGGTATCCTGGCCACTATGGAGCAAAGCAGGAGGGCTCTGTGAATCCAGGGGTCTGTGGTTTCCAGAAAAGAACAGAGCTGTGAAACTCAGGTCACCTGCACAGAGAACCTAGCTTCCCAAGCAGAGGGATTTAGTGTTGAGAGCAGTGAAGATTATATCCATAATACCATTTTGCACCATCTAGGGTTAGAACAGCTAAGTCCTTTCTAACAGGTCTGTGCAGTGAGACCAGGCCTTCCTAGATGTGGGCTGTGCTAATCTTCAAAACAAAGGTACAAGGCAGGGCTACCAGTGATGATGGCTCCTGCTGTTTTCAAATAAGTCATTGGGGGTGGTAGGATCAAGGTGGGGCTGCACCTGGTGCCCAGCACACACCACAGACCTGGAGCCCATACTGCTCTGTTTCCTCAGCTCCCTCCTCCAGATGTATCACTCCACCCCCTCCAGGCTTCTAACAAATTCCGGTCATTATCCTATAACCTCAGGGGTCTCCAGGGTGAAAAGCTCTTCCCTTCTTGTGGCTATCACACAGCCTCCGGGTCAAAGCTGATGACTGTCCTCTTGGCTCCCTTCCGGTCTCCCAAAAACAAGGCTCAGTCTCGGGCACCCCAGCCCTGTCCCTGCCCAGGTCCTCTAAAATATTTATCTCTCCATGGCTGCCACCAGATGAGAGGCTCTGGAATTTGTCTTGAACTCCATAGAGGTCCCTCAGGAGATCCATTCAACCTTCATTGGACACTCCTTCAGCTTTCCCAGGACCAGCTGTCCCTTCCTGAGGTTGACCCTAGCCAACACTGACCTTATGGGTCCAAGGCAACTTAACTTAAAAGTCGTTCAATTTAAAGTGAACTCAAAGTAGGAGCCTGAGCCTGTGCTCAGGTTGGAAACGCACCTCTATTCTGTCTCTCTGTAGGAAAGACAGTCACCTGCCTCAGTTTCCCCCTCCATAATAATGATTTTTTGCACTCAGAGTTGCCCAAGGCTTATGGGGCATTTTACCTGAATTCTGGCAAGAGTTGGTACTTTAATGGGTTATTTCCGTGCTGGAGAACCTTTAAGTCCTGAAGACTCGAAGAGGTTATCTCCTCAAAGATTATGGACCAGGGGATTGGGATATCAAACCATGTCCCAGGAGGACCCCAGAACTTTGAAAGTACAGAGATAGCGGAACTAGGGCCTACCCCTGCCCCCCTCTTTCCTCTCCACCCACACTACCTTCCTTGGGCGCATTGACGTCCCAGACGCTCCACATCTGCACGAAGAAGAAAGGCGTCCAGCACACGATGAAGGCCAGTACGATGATAAAGGTCATCTTCACTGTGCGGATCTTCGCCTTGGAGATGAGCTTGACGCTGCTGACCCGAGCCAGCGCCGCGCGCCCAGCTCCACCGGCCCCAGATCCTTCAGTCCCCTCGGCCTCCGCCGCAGCCGCAGCCGTCTTGAGTCGCAAGTTCTGCCAGATCTTGAAGCTGATGAGGCCATAGCAGGCGGCCAGCACGATGACAGGCACAATGTAGACGGCGAGCGTGATCCACGTGACGTAAGCCTTGGGTCCCCAGGGCTGGATGAACTCAGCCCAGCAGTCAAAGACGCCGTCCGCCACTTCGCGCAGCGAGAAAATGTGCACCTGCGGCGCGCTGGCCACCAGGCAGCCGAGCCACGTCGCCAGCACCGCCAGGCGGTCGGTTCGGCGGCGCAGCGAGCGCAGCGGCTGGCAGATGGCCAGGCAGCGGTCGAGCGACATGAGCAGCAGCAGGTAGGTGGAGGCGAACATGCCCACCACCTGCAAGTATTTGACCAGACGACACAGCAGGTCGGGCCCGTAGAAGCGGAAGGTGATGTCCCACAGCAGCTGCGGGAGCACCTGGAACACAGCCACCACCAGGTCGGCGATGCTCAGGTGCTTCATGAAAAAGAAGAGGCGCGAGTGCTTGTGGCGCGTGGTGCGCAGCGCCAGCAGCACGCACGCGTTGCCGCTCAGCGCCAGGAACAGAATGAGGCACAGCACCGCCACCTCCACGCGCGCCAGGGCCTCGTTGCGCCGCGGCGGCCCGGCCGTAAGGTTCCCCTCCACCCCGGGCGGCACTCCACTCCCGAGGTCCAACTCGATGCTCCAGTTGGCTGCGGGCGTGCCCTCCATGACCGTGACCGCGACCGAGACCGCGACCGCGACCGCGACGGAGCGCCCGGTCTTGCTGCTCTTTAAAGCGTGGAGCGCGGGGCGGGGCCCGATGCGCCGTCCAGGTGTCTACAGGAGCACCCCGGCACTGATCTGTCTCTTCCCGCCCTGAAACAAACCAGGAGGGCAGTGAGAAGACCTTTGTGCTTCTCTTAGGACGCGCGTGGGGCGTCCTTGTCCCCTTCCTGGGAACCTGAAGTTACCTGAGTCTCAGGACACAAGCCCAGCCACCGGGCTGCTCAGCCACCACTGCAGAAATCCCGGGTTGTCGTACCTCTTTTGAACCTCTGCAGATGCACTTGAGCGTGGGTCCCAGGAAAGGGTCAGCCGCTCGGCCTGCGGAGAGAGGAGCCTTGCGATTAACCGCTTTCCCGAGAACAGGGACCCCCTTCCCCAGCATGCCCTCCCAAAGAAGCCCCAAACCTACACCTCTCCCCTCAGGACACAGCACAGTCACCTTCTAATGGATACCCAAGGCAGCCCCCATCTTAGTAAGCTTTACTTCAAGTACGTCTTCCTGGGGTCCCCCAAAAGCTCAGCTCCTGCACATCCTTCTTCGCCTCCCTCTGTTCCAAGATACTCAGCTTCGGCTCCCGGAACTCCCCGAATCCGCTCGCTCCAGGAGGGACTCCTGCCTGTGAGCCTAGCGCCCCCCACCTCCCCCGCGGACGACGCAAGGCTGCTATGAGAGAGACTCCTGGGGTAGACACTTCTCACAGGAATCCCCCAGCCCAGCAGCCTCAAAGCTGCTTCAAGGGCTCTGTGTCGTCGTCCAAGCTGTCACTTTCCAGTCCCTCGGAGCATCCTGAGCGCCTCGGGGAACCAGAAGCAGGAGAGGCGCCAGAGGCTTGCCTCAGAAGCTGATGGTCCCATTGGTCCTAACCATCCTGTCCCCACGGTGCGCAGGACCCAGCCACCTGAAGCGAGCCTGCAGCTTAGCCCAAAGTTGCCTCGCCACCGGGGAAGTTGCACCGCAGCGGATGGCCTCAGAGATGCGCGGGCTCTCCCCCGCAGGATGGGAGAGCTGCCGGCGCCACTCTCGGTGCCACCACAAGTAGATCCCGGCGTCTCTGCAATCCTCTAGCCTGCGGCTTGCCTGGTGGCTGGATGCGGACCGAAGGCAAGCGGAGAGCGGTGGCCAGGTTGTGCGCGGACCGCGTCAGCACGCGGCGCTGTCTGAAGGTGGCCGGCTTTCCGGCGGCGGGAGTCCAGAGCTGCAGCACCACACAGGTCCGCTAGGGGGCAGATCAAGTCGGCCGCGGCGATCCCGGAGAGCCAGGTCAGCTCACCCGGTGTTAGTGCCTCAGATTTATCTCATAGTGGCTTAAGACTCGCAAATTTCCCACCTAGTTTCTTCCATTCTAGGTTTAGCTCTGGACGCTCTCAGAAATGTAGGAGCCTTGGAGAGCAACGTTTTTTCCCCGGAGTAAATTTTAATGAAGTCGGGGTTGGGGCTTTAGCTCAGTGGTAGAATGCTTTCCTAGCAAGTGCAAGGCCCTGGGTTCGGTCCTCAGCTCCGAGGTTAAAAAAAAAAAAAAATGTAATGAAGTCACTTTTCTGCTCCCTCCCTCCCTCCTTCCTTCCTTCCTTCCTTCCTTCCTTCCTTCCTTCCTTCCTTCCTTCCTTCCTTCCTTCCTTCTTCCTTTCCTTCCTTTCTCTTTACATTTTTTAAGAGAGCTCGCGTAAGCCCTTGCTCTGGAATGGCTTTGTTCATATTCCCATTAAGAAGGAATTGGAAATGCCTGTTCCTCCCCGCAGCCCTGAGAGAACTCTTCATTCTTTAGGTAGTTTGTAATGGAAGTCTCACACACCCGCCCCTATCCCCACCCCCAATTCTATCACCATTTGTGATTATTCTGCTTCTCAATGGGCCAAAGGCCACTTCTGCCTCCTTACCATGCTTCAAAATTAAAATCTAACTGGCGCCACGGGAAGATTAAATGTGAAGGGCTTCTCCTCCACTTCCTTGTCCTTTTCTGCTTTGAAACCATTTTTTTTAAACTGATTTACAGTGACCAAGGACCGAGCAGGAACAGAAAGGGCCAGCATTAAAAAATGAATGGGGCTCTTTAACATGAATTAAATGAGTATTTCCTCCTGACATTTCATTTCTCCCTCTTCTAATTATGTGGAGAGAATTAAGTGAGCCAAGGGCAGTGTTTCCTGAATCCACAATTACAGTACTGTGCCAAGCTTTCCTCGGGGCCGAGTCTTCCAGGGCTGCTCCCAGGTTCTACACCAGAGCATGCCAAGGTGGCTTGAGGATTCCTTGAGCATCAGCTAATGGCAGGAGGCAAAGACTCTTCTTCTTGCTTTGGGACTGCATTTGGTACAGTACTACCACTGGCATTTGTCACATAACTAAGGTGACAGAATACCCAGGTGACAAGTGGCCTGAGTCCCCAGTTTTCTGATGTGTAAAATAATGAGGAGACTGGTCCCATCACTCTGGTTTTCTGTGTATAAGTGGCGTGTGTGCGTGTGTGTGTGTGTGTGTGTGTGTGTGTGTGTGTGTGTGTGTGTGTGTGCTTCAGTTCATGCTCACACATGCATGGGCGGGAGTGGGGGTGCAGACCACAACCTCAAGTGTTAATGCTCATCTTCCACCTTGTTTGATGTTTGCTGCTACATAGGCCAGGCCACCTGGCCTGGACAGGTCTGGAGGTTAAGTGGTCTGTCACAGGAGAACTGGGATGACAGACATTTTAACATGCCTGGCTCTTACATGGGTTCTGAGGATTTGAACTCAGATCCTCACACTTGTGCTGTAAGTGTTTTATCCACTAAGCCATCTCAGTCCCTCTTCTTTCTTAAAGTGCAATGGGAGAGTAGTGTTATCCCAGCACATCAAATGACCCTGCTCCACCCCATGGCTGGATGAGGAAGGATTTGTCGGACAAGCCCCTGTCTAGGAGACCTGGGAAGGAAAGTGATGGGCTTGCAGAAGCCAGCCTGCTCTTGGCCTGGAGGAGAGTGGCCTTCAGGGGCAAGTCAGCCAGCCACTTCCCCAGCACTGGCTCTTCTTCCCCACATGCCCTCTCCTGTGTAGTCTTGTGCAGCAAATGGTTCCATCTCATTGTGGATTTGCTAAGAAGGACCACTTGGTCCATGCAAAAGCTAAGTTCTCTAACTTGGCCTTCATCTGAATAAAAGCATCAGTGGGATGCTCGCAGCCTCCTTGTTTAGATTCTCAGTATGTGTGGGAACCAGGCAGAGAAGAGAGGTTCTGCTTGCCTGGTGACCCCTCTGAAGGTCCCTGAAGAGTGAGGCACGCACCGGCATCCTTGAACCTTAGCCAGAGATAAAAACACTTGTCTATTTTCAGTATAGTGAGAATGAATTCTAACAGAAAGGGACAAAGTACTGGGAGCCCGAAAGAGCTCTCAGGAGGCAATTTGACAAAGGAGGTCATTCTCCTGGGATCGAAGAAGACAGACAGGCACCCTTCCCTGAAATGCCACTGGGGTGGGGGTGGACATTGGTAATCCACGTGGATGGGCTGAAGCCCGGCCCACCTCCATCACTGAAGGGTCTCAAAGGCCTCTTGAAGAATAGATTTATTTAGTAACCATGTTCCCCTAGCCTGGGAAGAAACGCTTTCTGCAATGGTACTCAATTTGTAAATTTAGCCTTGATTGACACTGAAAGTGAGAGAGAATGTGATTCTTTCTCCTTTCTGCCTTGCTCCCTTTGATGCGCCAAGGACAAACTCTGACAGACTTAGAGCCAGCAGCTCCAGGACCAAAGCTGGTTGGTGTGCAGTGATTACATGGTAAAAGCCCAAAGGTGAGAGTGCAAGAGCAGTGAAGGGATACAGGGGTGGGGCCATGTAGAAGGATGACAGCCTCAGAGAAGATGAACGGGAGAGACACTCTGGTGGCCCCAGACAGATGCTACAGTGTTAAGATCAATCCACGTGAGTCTGTTTAATGGGTAATTGGGGTTTATTAAGATATAAATTGGGGAAATACGCTCATGAATACAGAACCAAGTAAACAGCTGAAGTCATCCTCTGTTCTGCCTGGAAGTGAATGCACCTGGCCCTCCGGTGTCCCATCATGCCAAGAAGAACAGCATAACCCCTCCCTCTTTCCTTTTAAGAGGTCACGTACCCAGGCAAAAGGTCAAGAAGTCATATACATAGGCAAGAAGCATCGCCTCTTCTGGGCTAGATAGCACAAGGTCATAGGTGGAACAAATACCCCTACACTTCCCCTTTTTGTCTAAATAAGAAGGTTCTAAACCTAACACAAACTATTTACAATAAGAACGATTATCAAGTATTGTCCAGGAGAAATGAAGGGCAATGACATAAACAAAAAGGGAACTATAACCAACAAGAACAATGACAAGTAAGAAACATACTAAATGTCCAGATCATAGGTAAATGGCAAATTACAGAGATTACCCAAAAGCTGTCCTATCCTGAAGAATCTGAATCTAGTACCTAATATGTTCTTAGCTAAGACACGAGAGAATTTTTGTGTTTGGTTTGGTTTGGTTTAGTTTTTGGAGACAGGGTTTCTCTGTGTAGCTTTGTGCCTTTCCTGGAACTCACTCTGTAGACCAGGCTAGCCTCAAACTCAGAGATCCGCCTGACTGCCTCCCGAGAGCTGGAGTTAAAGGCGTGGGCCACGGCCACCACAAGAGAATTGTAACTGTAACTATCTAGTCTTCAACCCCATCAAAGACCTGAGAAGGAAAATAATATTACCTGAATAAATAGGAAGTGCAAGCAAGCAGCTTCCAGAAATGCAAGAAATGACAGAGATCGCTGGCTGCCTGGACAGTTACCCAGTGTTTCTCTGCAATGCTGGGGTATCAACTATGGCTAAGGCCTAGAATATCTGACAGACCAATTTCAGAAGCTGGAATTTTGAAAGACGGGCTTACCTTGTCTTGGCAAGGTTCAGCAGGTGCTTTTCCTTGTGTCCTGCTTATCCAGAAAGGACAATGTGCTTTCTGTCAGCAGCCGAGGCAAGGGCAGTTCTTTGCCCAGCAGGCTATTTATTGCCAAGAAGAAGATAAACTTCATACCGAGTGTCTTCGATGCCCTACATCCTCTTGGGAGCAGATAGGTGCTGTCAGGAGCAATCGTTTCTCATGTCAACAAAATTCTAGGTTATTAAAACATTTAAATGCCATATTCTCTAGGTCTATGAAGTGTTTGAAGATTACCTATCCATCTGACATATATTTCTGTATGTCTTGAAAACCTAACTAACATGACTATAAATATGACAAGCATGGATGACTATTGACCTATAATTCTTATCAACCTGAATAACTTAAAGACTAAGGTTTCACATATAAGAGTAAACAATCTGTAAACAGCTATACAGTATAAGGACAATGACCTTGAATTTGTGACAATATACAAAATATCTTAATCAGAGGTAAAAATGAATAGTGCAATATGACAACAATATCCTTAATATGTATCAATATACAAAATATACTAAACAGAGGGAGAACATATATACAGTATGGCAAATATAATTTTACATATATATCAATATACAAAATATTTTAAACAGAAGTAGGAGCATATGTACTACAGTTTTGAATCTGTATCAATATACAAATTATCTTTTTTTTTTTTTTTTTTTTTTTTTTGGTTTTTCGAGACAGGGTTTCTCTGTGCAGCTTTGCGCCTTTCCTGGGACTCACTTGGTAGCCCAGGCTGGCCTCGAACTCACAGAGATCCACCTGGCTCTGCCTCCCGAGTGCTGGGATTAAAGGCGTGCGCCACCACCGCCCGGCACAAATTATCTTAAACAGAGACAGAAAATAGTTTACATTTGTATCAATATACAAGAATCCATACCAATGAAAATTATCTAAGACTGATAGTTTGCTAAATTAATTTACAAGTAGATACAATAATCTATCTTAATATCCTATCTAT